CAGTTGCCACAAACCGCCACAACTGCTCGGCGCTTAATCAAAACGGCGCCCTCACCTGCTCCATAAAGCTGATCAGAGCCTCCCGATTATCCATCCAGTACTGCGGTAGATCCTGGGCAAACGGATACTTGTAGCACCCAATTTCCAGCGTCAATTCCATACATCCAGCCACCAGGTAGTTCCAATCCTGCATCCCGCCCGTCACCTCGTACCATTTGGCCCCATTGGTGATGCCGCCCTCGAAGATTTCCTTGGGGAACATCGGGCACGGCTTGCCCTCATGCATGCTCCTGTGCGCCTTCAATCAAACCCGATTTAGAGCGTGCGGCTGAAGAGTTTGAGCCTTACATTTGAGTAAACAGCGGCCAAGTGCTCGAACACCTTGTTGTCCGGCGAAGGGTTGCTGGTGCGCAACGGGGCACCTGGGGGGCTGTCGTCAAAGGGGTAGTTGGCCACTAAGGCGCCGTTGTGCAAGTTGGCGGACAGCACGAACGGCTCCGAACTGATCCAGCGCATCATCAGCTGCGTTTCCGGCTCCAAGAAGCGGTTGAACTGCAATGGAGGATGGATGAGTGATTGTGGGACGCTGTGGGGCCTAGTGGGGCCTACCGAATTGACGCCGAACTGATCGGGGAAGTTGCGATTGAGGTCGACGTTCGCCGCGTTGGACCTGCCTTGGTTGCTGGACGCGTCGCCTGCAAGTTGGGAGTTAAAGTTTGCACTTCCTGATCGGATTTAGGGCAGCTGAGCCTTGCCTACCTTCCTGCGCCATTTCGTACCCATCCGGGTTCATGGAGGGCATCAAGTGGATCCTGGTGGTGTCCAGCAGGCTGGTTATTCTGGCATCAGTGCCGTAGCGTTCGCACATATACTTGATCAAATAGAGCAGCAACTCTTTGCCCACTACTTCGTTCCCGTGCATGTTGGCCACGTATTTGAACTCCGGCTTACCTGCAAAACTCAACAATCAGGCGCTGATCAGTCCATGATTCGTGCTCTAACCGGGAACGTGCTGGCCAGGAGTGGAGCTGAGCACAAAAACGTACAACTCCCGCCCCTGGACTGATTTCCCTATGGAATAGAGGTGGGTGATGTTGGGGTAGGTGCGGTTGTGGAACTGCAGGAACCGCACCAAGGCATCGTAGTGGTGGTGTTGGAACAGCTTCTGGTCCGGAACCATGAAACCGTATTGGTCGTAAGCGGAACTGTTGGCGCTGATTGGCTGCTGAAACTCGCCTGCATCCAATAAAAACCCGCCTGTTGAGGAAGTCACACGCAATCGCACTGCCTAGGGCCTAGGGGATTAGTACAGGGACGGTTAGTTGTAGGGCAAAGAAATACACATGTTTATTTGCTCAATTACATTTATTCCTTAAGTACAACCTAACGATATGGGTTCTTCGAACGGCACAAAAATAAACATATGTATTCAACACTCTACATACCACAACCAAAGTGTATTTTACATAATAAACCTCTAGGGTGCTTCAAGCCCAGGCTACTGGGAAGCCAAAAGAAACTAAGACTTTAATCAGATCCACAATATTGGTCCTCAGTTGACTAAAAATCTACTTCAAAATTTATTCCTCGGTTTCAGTCATTTATTGTCTCTATTTATCAATTAAAATACGTTCCGGTGTATTTTTCCACCATCATCAGTTTTTCTAAAATAACAGATAGTTAAAAAACAACCACAGTTCGTCACTAATTAATTTTAGAATGTTTTAAAGTATTGCAATTGTGCTGTATTTTAATGTGTGATATGATGAGGCTGTTGACGAACTGTGGTTGTTTTTTAACTATCTGTTATTTTAGAAAAACTGATGATGGTGGAAAAATACACCGAAACGTATTTTAATKGATAAATAGAGACAATAAATGACTGCAACCCAGGAATGAATTTTGATTTGGAATTGAAACACAGTCAGAAAAGTGTATATAATAAAAATCTACTAAAAGGGTTTTTGTCTTTTCATTCACAGTCTTTGCGATCAAACAACAGAGATTACTTTAAATATGAGCCAATTAAGCATAACGAGCAAATAAGAAGCGCGTGGGCTCGAATTGAATTGCCTGAAATCAAAAATGGGGTTTTAACCAGAGTTTGCTACCCAAAGTCACAGACAGCGGTTATTTCCTGTTAAACAAGGCAGTCGATTATTATGGATTGATGAGAACAGACTGAGCGAGAGCGTGTGCAACCAATAGACAAGCGGCAAAGTGATAATAGACAATTACACAAAATTAAACGCATTAATTGGCTAGACAGACAGTGTTTAATCAGATTTAGCTTACGCGCCCCAATACCAGCGATCACCACCAATGGCACCATTGTTTGTGCGTAATTCGTTACCTTGTTGCGCCTCTAATTTGATGGTAAAGTTTTGAATGGTGGTTTTGCCCGGTGCGACCTCAACTTCCACCGTGTCTGAAGGCGAATAGCTGCAAAACAGATCGGCCACTCTCCAACTGAGCCACTGCTATTGAAGAGTTCTTACCCAAAAGCACTGGCGTAAATCGAGTATTTTCCGGGCAAGAGCAGCCTCCAAAACTCGCCTCTATTGGAGGTGGTTATGTTATGGTCAATCCCCTTCACCACAACATCAGCGTCTAGCACTGGATCGCCGTCTTCATTGATCACCAGCCCTGGAATCAAGGGGGTTAAACAACGGCTTGTCTCGGTAGTTGAGTGGAAACTAATGGCAACTTAAGCTGAACAAGCCGCGGATGAATTCGAGAAAAACGCAGCTCTTGGACAGCTGCAAACCCGACCTGGCAATTCTCCAGTTTGCCATTTAAATGGGCATAGAGTTACCTTTAACTCCCCAATGCACAGCCTCCATGAAACTCAACAGGGACTCCTTGTTGGCGGCCCACTCTTGGGGCAACGTCTGGGCCGGCGGGTATTTGCAGCAGCTCAGCTCGAAGGTGACCTCAAAGCAGTTGGACTTCACATAGTTGAAATCCTGCATCCCGCCTGCAAGCCATCGAACGTTCTCACTAACCAATCAATGCGCGAGCTGCGGAAGTTACCTCGCACTTCATACCAATAGGCCCCGTTGGTGATGCCTTGCGGAAAGTTGTCGTTTTTGCAAGCCTTGCCCGTCTTCATTATGGAGTGCCGGTCCGAGTAGACGAGGGCCAGCTGCTTGAAAATCTCGTTGTCTGGCGACTTGCTTTCCCGACAACACTGGACGCCAGCACTGAAACCACATACATTTTAGTCCTGATTAACTTCCCCGCCACTTGATTGTCTACTTGGAGTCGTCGTAAGGGTAACTGGCCACCACTGCGCCCCCATGGAGGTTCCCAGATAGCACAAACGGTCTGGATATAATCCAAGTCATCATCGCCACTGTTTCGGGTTGTCGGCCCGACAAAATCGTGCCTAAAACCGTTCATTACAACCAAAACTCCCGGCTGGGATCCGTATGCATTAACTACCGGCTCTATGGGGCTCGAACTGATCAGGAAAGTCCCTGTTGAGGTCAACGCTGTTCTCGTTCTCCCTGCCCACGTACCGCGGCTTCGACTCGCACAAGCCTTCCTAAAATAAACCAGCCTTGCCCAAATTGTCTGGACTAATAATCAAAGAGCTCACCTGCGAACTCTCATACCCATCAGGGTTCATGCTGGGCATTAGGAATATATCAGTGTCATTGACCAACTGGGTGACCCGCTCAACTTTCCCATAGTTCAGAATCAGGTACTCGGCCAAATAAATCAGAAGCTGCCGCCCAATCGACTCATCCCCATGCATGTTGCCCACATACTTGAACATGGGCGTCAGCAATGTTCTGTTATGAACATTGGCGTTGATGTGCAGCGCCCACAGTTCCCTGTTCTTCACCGAACGTCCCACGCTCACCAACTTGGCAATCTGCGAGTTTTCCGTCTCCAACTTCCTGAAGGCGTTGGTCAGCTCATCGTAACTGTAATACCTGGGGTCGATCAGGAAGTCTTCGACTTCGGTTGGGGACAACGGGACAGCTTGCACCAACTGACGGCCAATGCACAAGAGCACAAGGATTTTGATCATGTTGACTGGATTCAAAAGCGGATTGTTCGCGCGATTACAATAGCATCGTCTTGGTTGGACTAGAATGTGGTTGGGCAAAGAAAAAATCGGAAAAAACAACTTCAATAGACGTCAACACTTTTAAAATGTGCGGTTATGGTAAATCAAACGTCAGATTTAGACCTTGATCAATCAGAAGCGGCCCCTTGGAATACAACGTTGCCAGTATCTAATGTTATGTCAGGTATTGTGTCAACTGTCAAATCTTAGAAAGGTGAGGTTAGAACTGTTAAAAGTGGGAAGTGAAGTGGTTTGGTTTATGTCTGACCACAAAGTAAATTTTTTATTTTACTTTCTCTATGTGCCTGACCACGTTTTGACTTGAATGTGTCGAAGTAGTATCAGTGTTCTGTCGTAATAACGTACAAATAATAACTTTTATATCATTAATTATGTCTATTTCCAATGTTTGCAGTATTTGTCAAAAAAGCTTTTCAACACAGGGAAATCTCAATAAACATTATCGTACAAATCGTGGTACCCCAGTGAATAAACTAAAATTGTGTTTCATTTTCTTTATAATTGTTATTTATACAGGGTGTTCCGAAATATGTTAAAATATTTTAGCAGCGTATTTTCCCAGTCATTTTAGAGGGGGGTCTTTCTAAGAATTTTTTTAATTTGAGGTCTCATTTGTGAGATATTTGATCTCCAAAATGGCGAAAAATATTAGTTTTTGTTGTTTTTCTTTAAAACGGTTAAACATTGGGAACTTAAATTTTGTTTTGTTTGTTGACAATTGAAGGCCATTCTGTGGTAGTGTTTATACAGGGTAGAAATGTGGATCTCCTACTTTTGTCTTGTTCAGAACTTTTTGTGTGCACTTAAACTTTTATCAACATAATTTTTTTAATTACTACCAGTTATTTATCAATTTTTTATCTGTTATTGTTTTTTCCTAAGGGCACTAGTTTGCCCACAAAACAATTAAATCGTTTCGGCTTAATCAAAACTTTCCAGGCCGTTGGATTGCTAGAGGTCAAGAAGCTCCTATAAACTCGTCTCCTAGATCTCCCGATTTAAACGCGCTTGATTTTTACTTCTGAGACCATTTAAAAAGTACGGTATATTCACCAGAAGTGAATACAATCGAAGAACTTTTTATATTTCTAACGAAATAAGAACTTCAGTGCAAACTTTACGGTCTGAAAATTTTAATTTCATTAAAAGCCTGCTGCTAAGTTAACATTAGAATGGTTATTTAAATTTAATTTTGCTTGTTTATATCGTTGCGCATATTGTTACCATGTTTTTATTTAAGTAAAATTTATTCAAACCATAATGCATATTATTTTAATTAATTTTTTTAAAATTCTTTCAACATTAGAAATCTTAAACTGATTTTTGGTAAACGTTTTAAGTCGGAAATAATTTATTATATCGATATCTTAAATAACTCGGTAAATATATAATAATATCTTTCTCATTTTCTCTCTCTCTCTCTCTTTCTATAATAAGCCGCTCCTGATCAATCAAACAAAGTTGCCAATTACTAGATACACGAGTTTTAAATCCGGCGCGCAGATGGCGCCGGTGCATTGAAACGATTAGTGTGAAATGATTGTTTATGATTGAAGTGGATTTTTCAAAGTGGTATCTGATGAGCGGTTTATATACAGGGGGAATTCAGTGATGGCTGATGCATTTTAGAGAGAGATATATATAGATTTGCTTGCGAAGTTTGCGCGATGCCTGCAGTTTTTCTTACATTTTTAAATTGCAGCCAACACCTGGCGTTTGCGTTGTAATAAACTAAAAAAACTGCACGCAAATTGCCCACCGCACAATTAATGTCTCCGTTTCTCTCAAAGAGTTCTGGAACACTGGTGTTGTTGTTGGTAAAAATTGCAATTAACGGCAACATCGCCACTGTGCGACCTTTAACCGTTATTTAAAATTGCGCAGTTGTCACTGCCCGGCTTATCGATCCGCCAATGGGAAACACATGATTAGGGATCTTCTATAGCCGATCAAACGAACATAATCCAGTTATTTGCGCCAGCAAAGTGCGTTCTGGAGCCTTGAAGGCAGCAAAATGCCCCAAAAGCACTTCAGGTTTAGCAATGCTCTTGGTGCGCCCACTGGAGCAGTACACGGTTGGTTCTTTCGTGTTCGTGCACGATAGCTCCCTATCGGCGGGGCATGGCAACAGTGCTTCGGAACTTCGTATTGAGCAAATGCGCTTTCTTCGAGGTTATTTTCCTGCGTAAGTAGAATGGCAAGAGGGGCTTCCCCAGTGACCAGTGAGCGATTTCCTGCTGAAGCCCCCAAATAAACGCGAATATCTTTGGCACTAAGTACAGCGTGTGCTTCTGTGGCGCTATCGGTAAGTTCTCGGGCAGTTAAACGTATTGTAGACGATTTAGGCTCACCGAAATAGGTTATAGGTCGGTGCGGGAATGGAAGCAGCGATGGACCTGCAGCTTATACAGAGTGGAGCGGATAAAAAAATGAGTTTCTACACGAAAGGCCCGCTGCGAGTGAATGCAGAAAACTTCAACTTGTTGGGATTTAAAAACAATTATCCGGTGTTGGAGCCTGCGATAATAAAAGTCGAATACGTCTCATTGATCAAGTCCCAACTGGAGCTTGGCAAACAGGCGCAACAACTCTATAACTGGAAGGGGCGCATCATAAAAATCGTGCCCTCCGGGCAAATCCCGAAAGCCGTGAAAGAGCAAACGATGAAACTGAAAAAACAAGGTAGACCAACGACTGCTGCTGGCGCAAAGGGGAGAAACCCGGCGGCCAATCATGTTCCCGTTGAGCATGTAAACAGAGATAACAGTTTGAATATCCCATGCACTAATCAAGACTTGGGCCAGCTAATCAGACCGGCTGGTTATCAAGTCATTCGTAGTTCAACCGCGGAAAGTTCGGGTTTCCCTGCGAATCCTCCGATTGCCGATCCTCAGGCTCCCGCAGTGCCAACACTGAACGATCCGAGTGCGCTGATAAGTTGTGTTGATTCAAGTTCAGCGGCAAGCGACAGCCCTGGGCGAATACTGCCAGCTATCGGCAGCAGATCGACGAAGCTGCTGTCTAAAAAGAACCTGGCAATCCTCAATAAGGCGAAAATGAAGGCGCTCAATTTGTCAATGAAGGCGAATATGGACGGGGAAAGCGGCAGGGAAGTCGCCGTCCAGACTGATCAGCTGGAGACGAAGCAGTTCTGCCACCAACAGGTCCAGACTGATCCGTCCCAACAATTCAACCTTGTGGACTACATGACTCTGAACCTGGACAACCTGCTGGATATCAATAATAGGGACGAATCCCCCATTATAAACGACGTGCGCCTGGACAACGGCTTGCCCATGAATGGACCAGAATTCGACTCTATACCGGACCCCATCAGCAGCCAGGCCCAGAATAGTCCAGACGGTAAATCGACCGACAACAAGCAAGTGCTGAAGCTGAAGATGATGTTCTTTCACGACCTGCGGGAGTGTATGACCTACAATGCCGCTGGAAACCTGTAAGTTGATGGATGGTTCCATATACAGAGGGAGATTCGAAATAGTCACAACGACGCCAATTTCCAATCGCTCTGTATAGTTGTATCTATAAGACTTCTTCTTTTTTCCAGACCTTCAGATCCCCGAAGTTTATGGGCGGTTTTGATCTTCAGCCAACTGTATTTTCTTTGTTGCCCTCTCTAATATCCTGCGGTGAAGAAGTAAACCATAAAAACCTTCACTTCGCTATTTTTGTCGTACAAATTAACCATTCTGTTAGGCCTTTCATTGTCATCAGTTTTAAGATGTGATTATGGTAAGATAGTCAAACAAAACACGTTTGTTGCTTTCATGTAAAAGATAACGTTGACAAACAGACCCAATTTTGAATTTTCATCTTCCATTCTACTGGTTTAGTTCTACTTGTGCTTAAATCGAGGATCCAAGTTTGAGCGAAAGATCCACAGCAACTCTATTCCTATATTCAGTAGACTTTTTTGTGCATTTCAGTCGTTCTCACAGCAATATTTCAACAAAATAGTCATCATTTATAGGCACCTATAAACACTTAAGGTATTATGAGAGTTATCTGGTTTTTTCTATAGGCTTAGTGTAAATAGTTGCACTTTATTGCACAACGCATCTCTGATAAAAGTCCCCATCATTGTCACTGAGGTTTTTTCCAGTTAAAAATCGTGCTCGAATCGACATTTTGCCCCCAAAGTGGCGCCATCGAACGTTTCGAATTATGTTCGGCGATGAGTAAAAGTCACTCTAATTTCTGGGTTCTCGGAACGCATATTGCACAAGGAATTTCCCATTCACAAAGGAAATTTCGTTTCATCATTAGTCCTCGCATCCGTCGTTTTTGGTCAAAATTGAGATTAAATTTCTATTGCAGGCCGGTTCATGAAGGAGTCCTCAAAAATGACTTGGTGGCAGTGAAGAGACAGTGTGCAGCCTTAAAGGCGAGGAAATGTGGGGTCAATTTGGGAAACCATGATGGTTGTGTAAGTTGATTTTTTAGCTTCTTTCCTCCTAGGTTATGTAGTAGTGATTTTAAACTTTCACAGTCCATAGAAGTTTAAATTTAGTGAACATTTCGTTGTTGAAGTCGCGCAAAAATTAGCGTTTCAAGGCAAATACACCCGGTCCTTGAAAAACGACTAACTTCCAATCTCGCACAAGTAGCAACTTGAAATTTCGTCAAGCTACAGAAAACATTTGGATCTCAAAGTCCAAAAAAATGTATTAGAATC